CACGGCGGCCCCGAGGCGGTACCTGGTGCCTCATGAAGTGCTGCTGGAAAGCGTTGCCGTTCTTGAAGACCTTCAGGCAGTAAGGGCAGAGCAGGTGCCGCGTGTCCTCGTGGATCATGCGGAAATGGCTGTCCACTTCGGAATAGAGCGACGAGCGGTACTGACAGACCTGCGGGGGGAGACAATTAACGGCGAAGTCACGCGGGGATCTCTCTCTCCCCTATCCACCACGGCAACACGGAGATCTTAACGGCAACGTCCAGATCCCCAAAGGTACTTATCACCAGAAGTTAGGAGCCGGCTCCTAGAGAACCTGCTAGCTTATTCCAGCTGCAAGACACTAAATCAAGCAGTGTATATTCAGAGCAGTTTGGAGAAATAGTTTTGAACTACTTATATAAAAATTAGTGATAATTCAAGCTCCAGATCCAAGAAAAAAAAAAAGAAAAAAAAGGGGGAGACAGTCAGCACAAAGCAGTTGGAATATATTAAAGAGCAGCTTCTTCAGGGTCTACGTAAAATGCAGAATTTGGAACGTAATCTGTTTTAACGTAACGTATTTTAGAAGTTTCTTCTCTGCTTTTTCTTTGGAGGGACAGTGTTAGGACCTCTGGGTGGAAATGACGCACTCAGAATCCATGCAAGCACAAATCTCATGGCAACAGAGTGTCAAGAAAAGGTATCACACAAGCAACATAATCTCATCTGCTCCAGAGTGACAACTTCTCTTTATGGCACAGCCATTTGCCTGCAGGCCCTGGGAGGGAAAAAAAAATTAGGCTCTGGATGCCACTGGGACTAAGCAACCGTTTATCAAGCTGGTCCGGCTTCAGAGTGCTGGGAATGGGAGGCAAACGTTCAGCTACTGGTGCTGCCCTAGTGGCCACTGGACTTCTCCAAGTCCACAACTGGAAAAAAACCCACAGCGGGCTCCACAGCCCTGTTCCACGGCCCCAGCCTGGCTTGGGCCACTCCGGGCCACACGCTTTGCGGAGAAGTGCCGGATTTCCTCTTATTCTCCAGCCCAGGCTCGTGAAGTCCAGCCCCTGAAACGCTTTTAATACCTGACAAACGTAGGGCATCTCCCCCGGCTTGTGAGTGTCCTTCATGTGCTGCAGGAACATGGGCTCGCTCTCGAACGCCCACTCGCAAATCTTGCACTTTGCTGCAAAGGAAAGGAAAAGCAGGTAACAGCTGGGGGGCAAACCTCTCCCCCAACAAACCTGACAAGTTTCTCTGGTTGCAGCTGTCCCTTAAAACAACCCAAAAACTAGCTCTGAACCCTCTGAATTGGTAGGCAGCTAAAGGGATTCTGAAAGGTTTCCAAAAGGCAGCAAAAATGCTCTCAAACAAAGCGCTGGGTCCAACTACACCTCCTAACGAGGAGGCTTTCAGTGATTTTCAATCAGATGTCCATCTACTGATGAAAATTAACTTCTACCGTGACATCCTTATTATTATAGAACTCAGTCTTTAAAACGCTCTTGACAGTAAGTTTGCAGAAATGGCACTTGGCTGGATTTTTCTGGTGGTCTCCAAGCCACGCGCACCGAGGGGCAAGGCAGAACAGACCCTCCTTCCTCAGCAGATCTGCATTCGGGACGAGACAGAAACCCCCTGACGCCCAAACAGCAGCCAAATCAACGTACTTGTTGACTCGTAGGGACTGTGGACGTTCTCCAGGTGACACTGCAGCTGGAAGGGAGTGGAGAACTGCCGGTAACAGTGCTGACAGATGGTGTGGACATCCACCTCTCCGTTCTGCTGATCCAGTTCGACGTGGTGCTTCATGTGATTCATAAATCTTACGGAGGCGAAGAGAAAGCACGTGAACAGAAACCCAAACATTTGGCACCTGTGACCCTGGAAGCCTCATGAACGCTGCACCAGGAGGGGTTTTTAACAGCATTAAGGTGTTTCCTTCTTGCTCTTCCCACCAAAAGCAAGCAAAGGCTCCTCCTCTCCCGCAGCCTCCCGGCTCCCTAACTGGGGGAAGTCAGAGGACAGGTTTCGTAGCACACAGGCTGTTCTACTCACTTTGAGCACTTCTGACCCCGACTTGGCGTTCAACTGATGATGCCAAAACATTTGAACTTAAGAGAAGAATCAGCAGTGCAGTTATCGCAGCAGAACACCCCGGGGGCTCGCTCAGAAGAACACACTATGTCATAAAAAAATATTTTCTCCCTCTGTTGAAAAAAATCATTGAACGAAGGCGCCAAGAGCAGCTCTTCAAGGAAAATGATTTCCTATTATCTACCAAGACTAGGGACGAGCAAATGAGACTTCTCTGCTGCGGAACACGGACGCAATTACTCCGACCGCACCATCCTCTCGTGACTTTTGCCCCGCCTGAACTGCGTGACGACGGGCAAGGCTCTGCCCTTCGCGCTTCAGTTCTGGCCCTAAGCTGCCACGCGGGAAAGCTGCAGGGCCCGGGCCTGATGCTCACGACCCGTTTTACTCCTGCAGGCCAGAGGGGTTCAGAGCGCTGCAGAGCGGTTTGGGGGGCCCGTCGCACTCCCTTACCGTATGTTGTTCTTTAGCCTCTTGGTGCAGTGTGGACACCTGAAGGAAGTGGGAACCTTGGGGAAGTTCAGCAGCTGGCTCACTTTGCCACCGTCTCTGCCGTAGTAGAAGTCATCCACCAACATGATGAGCTTACTTTGGGATGAGTCAACTACGTTTTCACTTGGCTCCGGAGCTTTAGCAGGTGGGGACAGCGCAGGGATAGGAGTAGAAGAGGGCGGTGAAGCAACGGCTGTCGTTTTTTCTGGAGATGGAGGCTTTGCAGATTGAATATTTGGTTCAGATTCTGGAGATTTTCTTTTCCTGAGGAATTTAACCATTTCAGGGCAGCAGTACTAAAAGAAAGAAAGAAAAAAAACAAAACAAAACACACCACACAAACACCCCACACATTAAACTGTATCGAGGAAGAGCCGTATAGACCGTTAAACACACAAAGACCAACCCACACTAAGGGAAGACGGAGGAACTTTGGGAAACTCTTGAGGAAAGGGTAATGCAGAGGCAACATCTGTTTTGGTTGTTTACCGGTACGCAAGATTAGAGAATAAACGCACCTCCTGGCACCAAGAGGATCTAAAACCGAGGGCCTGCCTACTTCCCGGGAGGGAGGCCGTGGAAGGTCCTCCAAAGGCCCCTCCTCGGCCTTGTCCCTGCTCCTAGTCCCACATTCTGCCTTTGCCCAGCAGCCCCTGGTCTAAGGGGGAGAGCCGCGCCGCGCGCTCCCCAGCCACGAGCCATCGCCCACGACCCACCCGTCTCGGCGGGGTCACTTACACACATGTGTCCTCTTAAAGCTTCAGTGACTCGAAACTGCGCATCACACCTCGGGCAGACCTTCCTGCCACCATCTTGCAAATCAAAGGTGGGAATAGGAGATGAACTGACTGTAACAGGAAACACACAAAACAAGAGAAGTAGAATCCTTACGCTTCACCTTAAACCTAGGCAATCTTTGTGGCATACTGCAACGCTTTAGCCTCAAGAGCTGCACTTTTAACTCCTAACTAGACTGGAAGAGGCAGGAAAAAAGCCAAAGTACGCAAACTTCTGACAACGTGCGTGACAAAACATACCCCCCAGCTGCTAGAATAAGGGTAGGAGTGTCTTCAAATCAGATTTAACAAATAACAAAAAAAAGAAAGGAAGGAAAAAAAAGATCGGCTCAACTCATCTCCCCTTTTTCGTTAATCATTTGTTTGCTTTGGTTTCCCACCAGACTACAACGCCTCGCGTTCACCTCCAGCTGTAGTAAGAACCTCGGAATACAGATGACACGAAATGTACCTTCAGTCAACTTTTGGACTCCCAAACACCTTAGGAAGGTGCTTTTTTTTTTTTTTTTTGGGAAGAAGAGAAGCAAAGATTTTATCCTTTTGCTTCCCTGTGTAGAGTACGTCAGGTGTGTGTGTTCTGGAGATGGCAGCATGCACACCAATAATGGTGAAGGCAGAATCACGTACGCAAGCACACAAACAAAATATAATCACTGGAAAGAACGTACGGAGAACGAGGAAGGCATTAATAGCAAATCTTTCCAAGCGTTCACCCCTACTATGAAATCCCAGGAGCTACAGGTTAGCATTTTGGGTTTTTTTTTTTACTCCAGAAAATAAACTTCCGAATTCTCAGCAGAACCAAGCGAGCGAAGCCAGCGGCTGTAGACCGTACCTTTTAGCGATGACGACGACGACGACGACTCTGAAACACTAGATCTCTGGGAACCATGCACAGGGCTGCTGTTGGAAACCACCAGCGGGCCAGGGCTCTGTCCTAACGAAGGAATGGTGTTCAGGGTATTCACTAGCTTAGCAACCTCATTGCTGTTCTCACCAGTCACTCCAGGTCTCTTTACAGTCACAAAGCTCGCAATACTCACTGCCAAGGGAATGGATAATACAAGAACACTAATAAGGACTCAGTAAGATCTGACCCGCTGTGTGAACCCCGCCCCCACCTAGTACACCTTGCCTCTCGCTCGTCTCCGCCTCGAGTCTTCGCCAAAGGTGGCCAAGCCATGGACTGGCCTGTCCAGTAACGCCGAGGCTGGCAAGACTGGGAAAGCAAGTCTCCCTAACCTTCAGATCACGCTCCGAGATAGGAGCCGAGTCCCACGATGAAGGGAACCGCCTGCTGACGGTCACACAAGTTATCTGTATTTCTTTTCTAAAGGCAGCTGTGGATGAGCGCGGCCACTTAAAGCTAGAAACAACCTGACTGCTCGCTGGGCAAAGAAGTTATTTCTTTCGTTTTTAAACTGTTTGACCCTAGTCCTGAGCAATCATTTCACTCATGAATTCAGCCAATGTTTGGAGGAAGGGGGAAAAAAAAAAAAAGCAACAGGGTTAGTTAGTGCTTGTGTTCATCAGCTACGTAACTTCACCTTTCAAAACCCACAAGTGATTAACAAATCGTATTTCTCGCTTTTGGGGACTTCTAATCGATGGCGCCAGAACGTTCTACAAAACAGAACGTAACTCGTTCTCGAACCAAACTGGACACGATGGCAGGAGCGTCCTCATTTTCCAGGTTGGTAGGAGAGATGAAGCGTGAGTCAGTGACAGAGGCAGAAATAGAACCCAGGAGCTCTGACTCAACTTCTGCCTTTGAGCTGCTACGCCGTACGTTTGAAGACCAAATTACAGACAGGGTTACACACACGAGTGCCCTCGCTTTTCCATGGCAAGTCTTACCTAATTTGGGGTTAGTAGCTTGACTGGACTGCCCTGGCTGCTGCACAGTTAACTGTCCAAGTGCTGTTGGCTGCGTTGCAGTAGGTGTTGTGGAGGTGCTGGGAGTGGACTTACTTTGCGGTTGTGCCTGGGACTGTGGTACAGTGCTCCTGATGGTAAGCGTGGCCGGAATGACCGTAGTGAAAGTGTTGGTGGTGGGTCGGACCGGCATGGTTGTACCTGGTCTCACCTGGGCCATTTGAGAGAACACCTGAGGAACGCCAACCGCCGGTTTAACAAACTGGGTACCTGGGGCTTCAAAAAAAAAAAAAACCACCAAGTGAACAAGGTAGGTCAAGGAATCGAACTCCGCTCCTCGCACAGTAGTCACCGCGCGCGACCTATTTTCCGACGCTGCTGAGCTCCCTCAATTCCCAGCAGTTTCAGCGGAAGGTTGAAGAGTTCAGCACCTTAACTCCACTTCCCAAGCAGCCTAAAACTCAACACGGATGCAGACAGAGCGAGGACTGTATTTACAGCTTGTTTCAGGTGGAATTTCCCAAAAGGCCCAAACAGCTTACGAGCATAAATCCCGCTGGCTCTCATGGGGCTCACACTCCTACTCGCTAGGCCAAATGGAAACTCAGGGAAGGCTTCTTAGGGCAGGACAAGGGTGACCCCACGGTTACAAACTAGTTTGCGATATGAGGCTTTGGAGACGCGTTCTGGGGAGAGCGGAGGGTGACTCACGGCTAGCGCGGTCGCTTTGGCGTAAGGCAGGTGTCTGGTGACACACGAGCTCTTAAGTCTTCGTGATGGTGCAGGACAGGCTTGAGCAGCAGAAATTAGCCTTAGAAAAACCATCCTCAGGGGGAGGCTTGGGCGCCAGGCAGTTTCCCAGCACTAGCACGGGCACAGGGGGATTTTGAAAGGCAGGAAGAGGGGCGGTCACGGGCTGGGACGTTGGAATTAAGTTACCTGGGGGAGCTTTTTGCAGAGGCTAGATTACACAGAGCTCTACGGCAGCTTCCAGCTGGAAGTCTCCTACTCTGCACAGTGGCTTGTTACTGCGACCAAAGCGCCTACTCTCCGCTGCCAAACCACCAGCGGAGTTACAGCCACAAATGGGGACAAACCTCTCGTTACTACAGAACCGAAATCCCCCCTCTTCAGAGCTACTAGACATGCAGGTGAAACACAGATTTCAAGTGTAATTTTGTTTTTTTTTTTTTTTTTTAACCCTTGGTACTCTAAAAAGAAACATGACAGTGGCTTTGGCTTGTTTCAGTCCTTACCTGGGACGAGGGTGATGGGTCTAACTGTTTGACCTTGCTGTACATTCAGAACAATTCCAACTTGGTTCATCGTGTTTTGTACAGGCCGCACATTCCTCACGGGAAATCCCTGCAGTCAAACAGTGCCATTACCATACTGAGTGTATTTGAAGCACTTTCAGTATGAGCTTTCTACCCTAAAAATCAAATAAACAAATAAAAAACCCCAACCCCACGGCACTATCATCTAGAGATCAACTGAACTGCGAGGCCACGCTGTCCTCCGCCAGCACCTACCCAACAGCAGGGCCACCTTCCTTAAACTCCAGGACATTCTGACTCTCAATCCCTTCCTCCTCCCTGAGCACCTACAGAAATCGTCTCCCAGGTCTTGGCCAATGCTCAAAGCAGACGGTGGGCATTTAAAAGCAATTAAATTACCTGTTTTATTTTCCTGGGAAACATGCAAAGTAATTAAGTATTCAGCAAAGTCAAAGTCACGCAGAGGGGACAGACCCACGTACAGCAGAGAGTTGGACCCTGCTGGTAAGGCTACAAGTGAGCCAGCGTGAAGTCCCACCAGACCTGCGGTGGCTCCGCGGGACCTGCTGGGCTGTGGAATGCGGCCAATTTTCTCAAGTGCGTTTCAACTGCAAAATGACTTGGAACACAAGCTATTTCCAAACAAAGCTATTTCTAAATCTACATAAGCTCAAACCCAAAACCCCAACAGATTTCAGCTCCAGTGTAACGGACTGAAAAGGCAAAGGGCACAAGGAAAACTGAAACAGGGAACAGTCTTCCACGGGTGAGTGCACCAGATCTTCTGCCCCAGCCATCCCGGCTGGAAGGGCGCTCACCTGGGTTGTTATGAAGATGGGCTGGCTGGCCACCGGAGAATTCGTGACGTGATTGGCATTCTGCATGATCTGGACAGGTCGTAATACCGGCTGAGTGACCATCGTGCCCAGACCTGAGGCCGGGTTCTGGGCAAGGATGAGCGGCTGCCCGCTTTGCTGGACGAGAGGATTGCCAGCTGGAAGGGAAACAGAGACACAGCAAAAGTCACACTGGTCAGGTAAAAAGGCTGCTGCTTCCCTCGTGCGCTCAGTCGGCAACTTCAGCCTTCAGAACTTGAATGAGTTTTCCAGAGCATGCTTTGAAAGCAAACTTGTGAAAATATCCAACCCTTCTACGTATTGTTTTAACATTCATACTTAGCTTAGGATTTTCCAAGCTACCCAGGAACTAGGTGTTCAAATCCCTTAGCCTTGAGCAACCTCAGAGACTGACTATTCCGGCCCCTACGTGCCCTTTGAACACAGCCACAGCAGCTAAAGAAAAGACTTTTTTTCTAGTCTCGTTAACTATTAAGTAAAAATTCACCTGCTGGCAGATACTGGGAAAACTTACGCTGCACCACTACAACCCCCAGCACAGGGTGTGCGCCAGCAGAGCAACACTGCACGTTTCGGAACAGCATCAACAATCACAGACCATCACGGAGTCTGCCGAGGGCTTCAACTAACCGGGACCAGGAAGCCACAAGAATTCTGAAGTAACCTCAAGTTGCCTTCAGCATCCTCGGATAGGAAGAGGACTACGGGACTGAACCTGAGGACGTGGCAGACAAACTTCGAGTTCAAGAAAAGAAGGAAAAAATAAAAAAAAGGGATTGAAAACACCTGGATCACACCGGAGTCGTGATGTGCAGCCTGCGTCACAAGAGTGTCTTACAATGGTTTAAAGTGCTTATTCTCTTGATTCAAAAGTGAAACATCCTGCTTGGGGAAAAAAAGTCAAGATGAGGAAGAGAGAGAAGTTTTATCCGCTGAACTCAACGGCTTCAGTATCGCACAAGACGTGGAACACGTCACCCAAGTCCTCCGGCATCAGAGCACGTTCACACAAGGGCAAACCACCAGGTTACCGCAGCTCAGCGAGACCCCCCACGCCAGCCGAGACCCACTGTCCGGCCGGGTGCTCCTCGCCGGCTTCACCTGGAAGCGAAACCACTCCGCGCAGAACGTCTTCCCGGGGTTTTACGCCAGTGGATTTTATTTCCTACTCGTTTGTTGGACAACAACTTGCACTTCACGCTGAGCGGCAGCAGCTTTGTTCCTTACCACGGTGCTGACGGACCTGCCAGGGGGCTCCAACACTGCTGTTACCACCACCGTGCCCAGAGGGATTTCCCTGATGGATTTTCACTGCACACGCCTACTACGGGCTTG